ACAATATGCATTTACATTAATCCCAGTATCTTTTATTAGCAGAAGAAACTTTGAGAAATGTAACTTTAATAACAAAAACTTACAATATTTATTTGCATGCATGCATGCATGCTAGAAAAAATTGCTCAAAAAGAGTGTTTGTAGTAGATAATGTCATAAAGATAACAGCATCAAACACTACAATATCAATATTTATAAGTAAAACCTCCTTATTTCAAAACTCAAGGGACCAAAAACACAACTTAGAATTATCTGAACTTTTTTATTGAATCTGAGCTTTATTGTAATTGTCAAATAAAATTATGACGTTATTTCATATAATTTCATCCATTTGTTTACAAATGCATTAATATTAAAAGTTATTTCTTAGTAATTTAAGCTATTTTGAAAAAACCCAGTTGATATGTACTTAATGAAAACTTAACCAAATTATGTACAAAGCAAAACCTGAAAATAATGTATGAAAGAAGCTTAAGTACTTCAATAAGAATTACTGCAAATTTTGTCTAGAAAATCAATGGCTAGTTCTATGAAGAATTCACTGTCTTGAGTTCAAGATTAAAAAAATCATGTGATCTGATGAAAACAAGTTCAATTAATGGCTAAAGCTATAAGTACACATTCTATCTTGAATATGTATTTAATGGACTTTGGAATTATTGAAACAATAGATTTATGTAAAAAATGTCCAAAATAATTAAATGCTAAACTCATTTCTTCCATAAAAATAAAACAAAATTCCCTCTTCACTGCAATGTTTACAATGTCCAAATGACATTGAACTGAGGTCCAATAAATCAACAATGTGTATTTGGTGAAACCAAATCAGCCACTTGAGTGTGGAAATTTTCTTATAAACATGTAATATGATGGAAGATTTTGAATTATCCAAACTAAAATATATGCAAAATCCTATTATCTAGGCTGGGACTAAACCTGACTATGTATTACCCAATACTTCAAATTATCTGATATCGAAATAATGAGGTTTTATTGTATATATTTTGAATGACAACATGTCAACGGTAACTATTATTCTTAGAAAAAGTAATTAAGTTTTATTTACTTTTGCAAAGCTGAATTTTTAAAATGAACAAAGACTATTTTTTTCATCTTTGTTTCATATTAAAAAAACACTATAAACAACAAAAAAGATTTATGTTTAGAGAAAGTATTGGGTTTTTTGGAAAGTAAGTTTTTTTCTGTGGAAAAAAACAATATTTTTATAATAAATAAATATTTTGTTGAATTATATATCAACCATTTTGGTCAAATACCTGTTGTCATCCTTTCTGGTAGTAGCATGTTTTCACATTCATAAAAGTTTTGATCGCTGCTTACAAAAAACTGATCCAAGTGATTTTTGACATTGTCATTTCAAGTAAATGTTTTACAGTTAAAAAAAGTTTGTATAGACTGGAACAAATAATAATCTGAGTGTGCTGGATCTGGTGAATATGGTTGGTGTGATAGCATGTCCCATCTAAGTTATAACAGTTTCTGACCAGTTACCAAACTTGTGTGAAATTTGACATTATTGTGGTAAAACACTACACCTGTTTTATTGATCAATTCTGGCTGCCTTTTCTGTTTGATGATATTACTCAATTTGTTTACTCAATGGCAGTACACTTTCGAATCAATTGTTAAATTGTCTGGTAAAAGCTTCAAACAAAATTTCCTTAAAATCCCACCAAAAAAGAACATCTCTCCTTAAGAACATGTGGAACCCATATATCGAGCTTTGAAACGAAACCAATTTGTTTCAAGTAATCATAAACAGTTCAATTTGACAAATTTAATCTCTTAGTGATTTCAAGTGTTGTTATTCTGCAGTTTGTTTCAATTGGTACCTTTGTTTTGTTTTCATTGGCTTCAACTGGCCATCCAGAACGTGGTGCATCTTTGATATTGAAACTGCCAGAACGAAATTTCGTAAACCAGTTTTGGCACTGTTGTTCTGTCAATACATCATCTCCATACATGTCACACAATTTTTTTTTTTCACTTGAACAGCATTCTTACCTTTTCAGTAATAAAAGAGCAAAATATGCTGAAAATGCTGCTTTCGATCTTCCATATTTGATGGAACACAAAAAATAAACAATTGCACAAATTTACACAAAATTGTTTACAAATAAGCCTTAAAATGCTAGCTGTCAAAATATATAATGTTAATACGGTTTTGAATGAAAATGGCAGGAAAAATATGACTAATCCGTCTAGTGGTAAAAAAAAAATGAACTTACTTTCCAAACAACCTAATAGTTACTGAAATTAACTGATTTTAAAAAATTTATTCTGAAATTCTAGAATTAAAAAAAGGTTATTATTAGTGATCAAAAGACACTTATTCTATAAGATCTACATTATACAATATAATCTTATTGTATAACATTCAATATTAAAGTATTTCATGAAGATCGAACACCACATAATTAACCAAAATAATTTTATTACTGAATACTCATAAACTGAAATAAAAATTAATCTTTTCTTCATTATTAAAGTTATGAGAGACTAAAAATGAATATTGCATATCATCAAGCAAAATATTTCATTAGATTCATTACAATCTCTAAACAAGTTCCATCATCATCAAAAGTTTGCTTAATCTCAAATATATATGTACAGTACATACATAACAATAATGTGTGAATGAGATAACTATGAAAACATTTATCCCTATCATATAAGAACTTAAAAGTAATTAGAAATTGAATTTTTCAATCCTCTAAAAAAATAACTAACTATATAAATTATTCTCAGTTTTTCACATAAAAATTTTAATAAAAGAATTCACACAGTTTTATATTATTTTTTGCATATTTAATGTTGTAATTTTTATAAAAATTGTAGATAGTAATAGTAATATATATGTAAAAAAATTTATATATTTTAAAATTAATACAATACTTATTTTTGCATTTCATTCATATTTGTTAAAAATATTATCATTGTTTAAGTATTAAGTACAGTACCTTTAATTGTTAAATAAATATTCAATAAATTAAATATATAACTTAACCTTAAAATATTTAACATTACAATTATTATTATGAATAATAATGTTGATTTTGTAAACTTTTATGTTTTATCTAATCATTGTTTTGTAATTTTAATTTCTTAGCCTTTTCTAAAATTGTATGAAATTTGATTGAACATAATTATGCTTTATTATGTTTGCAAATTACATATTAGAATTGCAATAATCCCTTTTATAGATCAGCAATTGCCAACCAGTGATCAGTGAGAAAATTTTGATGGTACATGGAGAAATTTGGATATTGATCAACTCAAGGTTACCTGAAGTATTATGAAAGAAATGCAAAATGCCTGGTTCCTTTTTTCTCACTCATTTGGGATTTTTTATTTGAATCTAAAACTAAACACAAAATGACTTGTCAATAAATCAATAATGTTGTGTGCAAAATTGCCAAGAATCAATAAACTTATTTCAAACAAACAGAATCAAACTTTACATTAATTTGTTATAATTAAACAATTGAATTTCATATTAATAAAGTAAAATGGAACTTTTATAAACATTATTCTATAAATGTTTGTATTGTTTAAAAAATTTATGATAGCGATCCACAGGATTCAAAATTGTGAGTTCAGTGGTCTGTGAGAACAGAAAAGTTGGCAACTGCTGTTTTAGATTATTGCAATTTCAATATAAAGTACACTGGTGTCCAAAACTTAAGCAATGATTGTTTTTTTGCCATAACTCTGCAAGAAATCACCTAGGAGAAATTCAGAATATAGAGACAGTATTTTGTACTTAAAGGATGAAGAAAGTGTACTAGTGCAAAAATGAATGGAATGCATGCAGTATGAAATCAAAGCCTTATTTTATTGTAGTCTTGTGCTGACTGCTGTGTGCCCTCACATCCTGTGATGTCTTCTTTCTGCATATGAATTACCTTTCTACTGAATTGGGTGTTCATTATACTGATTGCAACAAACCCTTTTCTGCAATTTCATGGCTGTCTGCTTAAAAATTACATTGTTGCTTAAGTTTTGCATGCCAATGTATTATCATCATCATTATTATTATTTTAATTTTTGTTATTTAAAATTCCACACTTTATAGATGATAATGCTTTGCTTAAATGAATTAACAAATTTATTATTTCAAAATTATTTATTAGTTTTTAACTCTTATGTGTACAGATGCTTTTTTTTTTCCTTTCAATTTCTAATGTTTACTAAAAGAGATAAACTGTATATTTAAGTTGCTTTTAAATAAATTTTTGCATCTAATACAAAAAAGAGTTAAAAAAATATATCTTTTGCAGTAATTCCTCTTACCTGTTCAATAATACTTACGCTTTTCTGCATTTAAAACAACCTGTGCCAAAAAGAAGGATTACAAACAACAGATTATCCAATACAAACCAAAATCACAAGTTTCATATCAATGAATCAAAACATAAATAAATATAAATAATAATAAATGAGCGTGCTAGAAAAATTGTAAAATATGGAATTTACCGATCTACATGCCATCGAAATGGAACAATATTAATTTTTAAAAACCCCAGAGGGAAAAAAATTATTATTTCTTAAAAATCACAGTCACTTTGGAACATAAATCAATGAATTTAAATTTTATAAAACATAAAAAAAAGGAATTTTCTTCTCCTGTGACCTCCTTACAAAATCATTAAAATAATCAAATGGATCTGAAATATTAAAGAATTTTAGAAAATTTGCAAGATAAAAATCATTAACAAAATTCCAACTTCCGACATAAGAAAATTTTGAAATTTGCAGATGAGAGCGTAATTGTCCAGACTTATCAGATTACGATCACAACATTGGATGTCCAGGAGAAAAATATAAATTCCAGACCAAATTGAAATTTCAAATTTAAATTCTTACCTCTTGTCTTATCACCATTATGGAAATCTCCAGAAAGCACTTAATATAAATTTTTTTCAATCCAAGTAAAACAATTAGTTTATATTAATTTGCTAATAAAAACACAATTTAAATGACATTTTTTAAAATTATCATAACTTTATTTTAACATTACAATTCACCTTTTATGTGTTTAAAGGTAGCATAAGATTTGTTGCTTTAAGAAAATTTATCAAAATACAATAATTGATTTTTAAAGAAAATAAACTAGATAAAAACTACAAAAACAAGATATTTATTTTTCATTTTGAACATAGCCTCTTTCTATTCTAAAAAAAGTTACAATTGTTTGGGAAGAAATGAAGCTTTACCAGAGACAATTAGAAAATTTCTATCTAGCGACTATATGACAATAAAACATCTACAACCATGAATTTTAATATCAGTTTCCTTTTCTTCATGTGACTTGATGACAAAAGTTAACAACAACAATGACAGAAGGAAGTATCTTTATTTAAAATCCTATATCTCTATCAGATACAATCAAATCATTATGTTCAGACAAAAGATGATGACACATGGAATGCAAAAACACCAAAAACATCTCATAAATGCTACTTTTAAGAATTTGCAGCTTGTAGCCATATGAGCATCCAAAAACAAATGTGGATCTCGTCGATGTGATGAATATATATATGCGAATACTCCTAGGATTTAAACGCAAGTGAAATTCTTCCTTGGGCGAAGAGGAGAGGAAAACAATTAGGCAGATTAAAATGTGTGATGGGTTCCTAAAGTCAAATTTGCTCTGGGTATCAGTAGATAGCTGAAATACAGACTGAACATTTCTCTTAAATATCTGATAATTCTATGCTACAGGAAGCTCAATACACATTCACAAGAATTCAAACAATGGAGTTTCACAAAAAGTCATTGTTGCATGCTACACTTAGGAATTGAAAGAGTGCTAGTGATCATTTGAGAATGGACACAAAGTTAATTAAAATGGGTCTGATGGAGAGTGACAAAATGTGCAAAAAATGAAACTGCTCAGTACAACTGGACCTCTATAGGACGGCCATCAATGCGAATTCCATGCATTAGATCTAAAACATAGTCAAGGTAAATTGCTATCTTTTGGAAAATTACAAATTTTTTAAATAAGCAAAATCTTAATTATATGTGTATACAGTATCTCCAAGATAATTTAACAGTATTTCTCATAAAATTTTAAGGCTTACAAAACATTTTGAAGGTATATCACTATTCAAGAACTATGGTGATTATAGAGCCACAATTTCTTTCATCATTTAGATACAATGTCACTAAAGAAATGGTGGTTAAAATTGTGAGTAGCAACTAATAAAGTAGAGGATTGAAGTAACAGTTTTGTTTAATAAAATGTATAGTAACAAACAATGCAAGGTATTGTAATAAAATAAAAAATCCACCTATACATTTAATCATCAGAATTTATTTTGTTACTATAATAATAATGATGGCATTATTATTATTGTTGTTGTTATGTTACAAATGTCATCTGCTCAACTGATACTGGTGCCAAATGCTATGCCAGACTAAAGTCAAAGCATAGCTACCCAAACAAGTGTAGCATTAAGCTGTGTTATTGGTATGTGTCAACATCTAGAAACTCAATTATTATTATATAATATAATACAGACAATTAAAATATTTTAGTTTAAAAATTTATGATAAAAAATAATTACAGGATGCTGTCATGTATGAGAATAATGCTTAATTAATAAAAATGCCATCAACATTGGGTTATATAACCCACTGTAGATAATAAATTGCTTGTGATAACAAAAATAAATTTATTCTATTAATATTTCTAATTTTTAAATTTGTCTACTCAAACTGCTTTTTTTAATTATAAAGTTATTCCTCATTAACTGCTTAGTATATAAGTGGGAAATATATTCAATTAATAATCATATCATAATAAAGTTATGTACATAAAAATTTTTAATGTATTATATTTTCATTTTTGAAACTAAAAAAAATTATAAATAATTTTTCAGTTGAAAGGAAAAGAAAGGTAATTTGAATAGTAACTTCCAAAAGTAAAAATATAGTAGCATAATTGTTATGACTAACTTATTTTTATTGTCATACTCTACATTTAGAATCTTAAATGGTATACAATACCTTCAAAAAATTTTAGTAAGCCTAAAAATATATAAATAAAGAACTTGGTTAAATTATCTTGCCTTCTATATATTAGCAGTTCAATTCCTTAAATAATCTAACTTGACAACCATTTAAATTTATGAAATTTTGCTTTCTTCAAATCATAGAAAATTACAAACACTAACCAATAATTACAGATAATAAAACATGATTTTTGGGTATTTTATTCTTGTGATTATGTAACTTTCTATATCATGAAGATAAAATATAATTAAACAAATTTAAGTTTTTGTTGAGAAATCAATTTGTGATTAATTTTAAGCATTCAAGGATACCAACTGCACGCTGTGCATCTCTTTCTGTTCCAAAACGAACAACTGCTGTACCTCTTCCCTTTACTTCGGTGTAACGAACATCACCTGATTAATATATAAGACATTTAAGAAATTACATACTCATTTACTCAAAATTTTCCATCACAGTCTTTTAAAATAATTTTAATAAAGCTTTTACCAATGTCTTTGAATCTGTCTCTTAATGTCTGCCAATTATATGAAGTGGGCAGCTGAATAGAAAAATAATAATTTGTAAATAAAATTACAACAAATTTATAATTAAAATTACTATTAAACTATTTTAATATTTAATAAAAAAGAAAAGTTTAAACTTAATATTTTGAAAAATACAAATAAAAAACAAGTCCATGTATTTATAGGAAACATTGTAGTTCTCTAGTATTTTTATAGGATTTGCATAGCAGTTTTCAAATGTGAATATTGGATAATCAGAGACATCTATATAAAAATTTAATTCCATATAAACTTTGAGACACTTTTAAATAGCTGAGTAACATTTAAGAACATTGATAAGCTTTTTATCGTTCCTGTAAATATATGAATTAATTTCTCAAATTTTTAAAATGTTTTTAAACATTATATTTTTTAAAGTAATTTATAAAAAAAATTAGCCAAATGTATGTAATAAAAAAATTACTATTTACACAAATAAATAAGTCCTGTGTATCATTAAAAATGCACATCACAAAATGTAATAACTTTAATAAAATTATTTTGTGTTTAATATTCTTATATATGATCACTCCTTAGAATGTTTTAATTACTATTCTGCAGTTGAACTTTCTTGAACTAAAAATTTCATGACAATAAAACTGATATGCCAGAAAGAATGACTACATTGAAAAAAATCATTTTAACCACTGATGATAAAAAAATTCAATCAAACGTTTTTAAAGATGATTATATAATAATGGAAATAATTGTGATAAATATAATTTTTTTTTTAAATTTTGATTGCAAGAAAATATTTTTATTACTACTATATGAAACTTGTTTAATAAAGGCTGTACATAATTTTATTTAAAAAGAATTTAGAGAAACATGAATATTTATTTGTGGCTATTGATATTGCAGATTGGCATAAACCACTGGAGTTGCAAAGTTGATACAAATTATTATTTATGCTTCATTCTAATTTATTCTTCTTCTTATATGCATTATGATAAATATTAAATAATAATATCCACACTGAGTCTGTTTTAAAAAAAAATCTAACTGATTTTGTAGCAGGGAAAAATGTCAGTCAATAGTATTTCAGAGATTCAAAGATTTCAAAGATGATTAGAGATCATTCTAATAACTTCATGAATTAGGAGTGCCTATTATAAATATTGATATGACTAAGTCAGACAAATTATTGTTAAATTCTTAATTGCATCTTAAATTCTTATTGTTCAATTGCATAAAAAAGCAGAATCATAGAATGATCAATATTAGTTAATGCAAGACTGCCCACCTCAAGAGTAACATTCATTTTAAAAATTGTGATATTAACTAGTTCTAAATCTTTCAACAGCTCATATTTAATCTATGATTTTTTCCCTCTTTTATCCAGAAAAAAGACAATTAGTAGAACAGTAATTCTAGCCAGAGACATTACTAACCATAGAATAATTAATATGGAAAAATGGGTGTATACTATTCTTATTTCTGGCCAATAAAACCAACTAGAGTCTATTAACAATTTTGTCACATCTCTTTTCTTATATCTGTCTTTAAAAAACCCAAGACCACTTAATCAACCCCTAAAAATATCTTTTATTGCAACACATTTTGGATAGAGACCACATCTCTCTTCAGGCAACCGTTTTCTCATAATAAAGGAAACACTTCCTTGAGCAACTTTCATGCAAAAATCCCCCCAACACCAATACAAATTTATAAGTCATTCCTTGAATTGTAAACTTGACAAAATTGTTAATAGTCTTTAGTTTGTTTTTATTAGCCAAAAATATGATAACTACTCATATTGAAAAGTATTCTAATGATGTCTGAAATATATCTAAGAAACAAAGCAGCAAGAAGAGTATTGAAAAAGAGTATGTTTTGAAACACAAAACAATTCAGAAAAAAATATTTAAAAATAAAAACATTTTATCTTTATTTTATTGAATATACTTTGTAATAAATGTATTATAAAAATCTTTATAATTACAAATAAAATTGCATTACTTACATTTCTAACTACCACAGTATCAGATGAACGAGGACTTCTGTAATTATCATTTCCACGATCAAATTCACCAAAGCCATCCATACTATTTCCACCTCCAGCACCTCCACCACCCATTCCCATATTACCACCCATGCCCATTCCACTATTAATTCCACTTCCCATGCCAACATTCATATTGCTTCCCATTCCTCCTCCTCCCCCTCCCATACCTACATTCATACTAGATGCTACCATCCCATTTCCTCCACTTCCCATTCCAGAAACACTCATCATTCCTGAAGCACTTCTATTACCAAGTCCCATATTGCCTACTGCACTTCCCATTCCCATGTTACCCATTCCTGTTCCCATATTTCCACCCATGAGGGATCTGTCACCCCCCATGCCACCTTGCATATTCATTCCTAGTCCCATTCCTCCAGCAGTACCAGACATTCCTCCCATATTTCCCATTCCCATTGCAGCACCTGCCATCATACCTAAATTTGCTGCACCCATATTGGGAGCAGCACCCATTCCCATTCCCATTGCCCCTAATCCTCCTTGCATAGTATTTAAAGGCCCTGCACCTAAAATAAAAAGAACATACATTTAAAATTACATGGAATTACATTATACACTTCTATGTAAATAAGATTTTTTTAGAGTTAATTCAAATAATTTTTATTTTAACTGATTTTAAACATTCATAATACAATATAATTTTATAATAATAAACTAATATAATAAAGATCAGTTTTTAAAGACAACATTCATTATATATATATAAAAAAAAATACCAATTATCAATGAACTTAAAATAAAAATAAAACATTTATTTTAAATTTACATATGTATAATGCATCATGCAAATATCAAAAATAAACATTTTTAATAAATATTTTTAAAGAATGTTCTTTAAATGTAATAAGAAAATAAATAAATGGATAATTAACACATTTAATTTTCATATTTACATAGTACTGCTTGAACTTGGTATGTGCAAAAAGAATTATTTAACATACATTTCAATATAACCATTTTGAAAAGTTCCCGTATTTATATAGGTAATAAAAAAATTATTATAATAGACTGAAATATGTAAAAACATGCATCTATAATATATTAAGACAACAAATTATTATTTACATTTTACCAACCAAGTTATGACATCCTCTTTATCGTCAAAAGCATTCACACACTACCAAAAATTTGCAGTAGTGCAATGAACAACTACATGATAAAGTATACTGATAAGGGAGATACATTTATAAAGCTTGAATTTTTAAGGATGTTATCAGTAACCTTTATATGGATATGCCATTTGGACATGAACTTTGTGTTCCAGTATGGTTAGTCATAGAATGGCATTTATATAATGTTTCCATACAGGTCAATGCAATTAAACTATACACACCAAAATCAACTGTATGTGATACTATGAGATATTGTGAAGTGAAGGAAGCAGGACAATACAATTGCTGCAAAACAATATTCAAAAAGGCCACACAAATTGATGGAACATGACAGAAGAGCCTTAGAAAAAAATGCTAAAAAAATCCTGTTTTTCTTGTTACTTCTATCATTGCTGACATACAAAATGCATATGGTGACTCCATTAGTACCATAACTATCCACAGAGAATTAATTATACAGTATGGAATATTATAGTAGAATAGCTTCACACAATTCACACATCACTGCTATTAGTGCAAGGCTCTGTTTGGATTAGTGTATTTTTTGTTGTTTCTGGACAGGGATAACTGAAAAGCTTTTGTTTGGAATGATGAGTCATGCTTTTCACTCTTCCAATTTGATGGACATGTTTTGATTTGATGTCAGCTTGTGTTGTTCCAACTAAAGTACAGCTGAAGTTTCTTAATAATATGGGAGTGTTTCTCATGAATGGGGCTTGGCCTGTTTGCTGGTTATTGTACCAAATATTATGAACTCAGATAAAGCCATTTCCCAAAATCATCATGATATCTGAATACTAAGATATAAAATACTGTACACTCTATTTGAATATAAAATGATTGTACATTACATACAAAACATGTCTAGAAAGTTGTTATAAAGATAAAAAAATACTGAATAAAACACAATCTACTCCAGACATTACTCTCTAATCTATACTCTAGAATTAACAATAATATCGGTAGTCATAGGAGCAGCTTTGGTCTCACTGATAGCATATTATAACATCCAGTTATGCCTGTCAGGAGTTAACTAGTTCATATTCTAATCTTTTGACAGTTTTTGTGATGCATGTGTCATTTGTCCGTCAACTCCACTTGTAACCAATGTTGTAAAAATTATCTTACTGTAACTGCTCAAATAAAACTGTTCTGAAATTGGTGAAAAATGTATCTTTTGATATTTAGTCCCATGAACTGAATTAGATTTTACATGTTAGCAAAGACTATGTTGCTATAACCAGTGAGCCATCCTTTCAACAATGTGTCTTTGCAATCCATTTTCATTGTTATTTCAAGACTAGTAATAGTTATTCTATTGTCAGCAAAAGGAGGTATACTAGCATCACATCTTACTAAGCAACTATTTTTATATTTTGTCTTTCTATAGGAAGATCAAATGTAGCTATAACGAACAATCAAGATCACAACTGCCACCAACAAATCAGTCTTTGTCTCTCTTAAGGGTAACATTATGTGCTGCTCCATTCTGAAGAGCAAACCCAGCACTGGTTTGTCAGATCAAAGCACAGTTTTCTACAGCAGGAATTACAGATGACAAAAATAAGTTTAATCATTTGATGACAGTCTTGTAAAGTGAAATCATGACCTCCATTCTATTCTTTACTTAAGCAACATTTAATTGCGCAGTTCACCAAATCGAGACTGTAGTTGCAACCGCTATTTCAGGAATTGAAGTTGGGAGACCATCATCCCTCAAAGTTACTTTTTCAGTCTTATGGTTGGATTGGCAAGCAACCACATGACTGAAGATTTATTAAAATCCTTATAGTTGCAATGACATCCTACTCCCATACAAAGTTACTCACCATAATGGTGAAGGACTTCAAAAACAGGCCTAAATATTAGATTAAGTTGGTGACCAAAATATTGCAATTCATATTACTGTTAATGTCATCAACAGACCAGAATAATCATGCTACAGCAGTTGCTTAGAGATGCAAGTTGATGAGCTAACCAGCAATGTTGATATTCCCAATGGCACCACAGCATGTCTCCTAAAAAGTGAAGCAGCTCTGCCATTTCCATCAGAAGTTTGGTGTTAGTGCTAGTAAATGTGTTTATCTGACCAGGAAAACTAGCAAGCCGTTGCTTGTCAGTGAAAATTTGGTGTCAAATTAAACCCATTTAAGTACATGTTTGGCTCACCAAAGTGATCTTCTATAGTTACAAGATTTGTAGACATGGAATTTTGCCTTTTCTCCATCAAGAAACAGTACTGAAAAACAGTCTTTTCAGCATTACCTGTGTTTAGTATAAAATTTTAAATTTTAACGTTAACTCATTCTAGTTGGAATAAAATTATGAAATTTGAAGATCTTGAAACCATTATCAAATTTGAACATAAAGACAAATGTTTTTTGTCTTTATGTTCAAAATTTGTTTAATTTGAAAATTTACAAATTTCAATAAATTATCTACATCTAAAATTTTTGTGATTTGGTTTTGTCTAGTTATTTATCTGATCAGAAGGATTTTGTTTGTTAAGAATTTATAAATAATTAATATCATAAATCATATATTTATAATAAAAGTCAATGATTTAGTTTTAATTTTTCAGTGTCAACAGACAAAATAAGAAGGAACATGATTAGGACACTTGATATTGATAGAAATTTGTGTAAACTGGAAGGCCAGTCCAGTGATGAAGACAGTGACCAAACATCATAAATAATACTCCAACTTTACATTCCAGTGAAATACAACGTAAAAATGGAGCAAAACACATGCCAGAAATCATTGCAGATGGCAAAAATCACCGCTACTGAATGCAAGGATATAAAAGTGCATGAGTTACAGTGTACTGTATCAAATGCAAAATTCATCTGTGCCTTGTGGAAATAAAAATAGCTTCAAAGCATATCATACGTAAATAGAATGTCAAATAAACTATTTTTACATGAACAGAAGAGTTATAGAATATTAGAAAAATACTGATTTTATAGAATTTTATATTTACTAAGTTAAACACAAATAAATGCTAACAATTTTGTTGGTTCAAATTTAACAAATATTCAATAATACAGGAGAAACACCCAAGCTGAGAAAATGTTTTATATTCCAGAAACAAGCAAAATGAAAGGTTTAGAAACAATACATAATGTTGACATCAAAATTTCTTATTCTCTATATAAAAGTATAAATTCATGATCTTAAATAATTTCAACTAATGAATTTCCTAAGAATTATATCAATATCAAAGTGACAAACAGTTTAAATTAAATTTAATCAAGATCGAAAACGAAAACTTCAAATATGAACAAAACATTACCTTCATCCAAATTTCCTGACTTAAGATCACAAAATAAATTAATTTTAAATTAACAGTTCCAAAATAAAATTCTTCTCTAGAGAAACTTTGTCTTTATACTTGAATCTCAATAATCAATAGGAATTAGTCAAAGTATCTGAAACCAATTGTTTTAATAAAGAAAATAGAAGAAACATTAACCATTTGATGAAAATAGATATCAATTCCTTATATCAAAAACCTTTAAAATTTCAAGAGAAATAAGAAAGAGAAATTATTTTAAAAATTCTTAAATCTTAATTTGTTATGCATTAATTTTATGCAAAAACTACTTATAATTTGGAAATATTGGAAATAATTTGGAAATTGATATAAAATTTACACAACTAAAATCAATCAATCAATTTCAGAACTACACCTAAATTATTTCTATAATAGATCATCCTTTATTCAAAATATCATCAGAAATCTAGAGATTAATAAAAATTTAAAGTAAATCTGATTTTATTTGTAATATTTTTGAATTTATTTATTAAAAAAAAACAAACACCATTTCAAGCAATTTAAACAGAAAAACAGACTACATTAAAATAATATGGGTAAGTTAGTTTATAAAAGCAGAAAATAAGTTTTTTCAAGTATTTTTGGACTAATACGGAAACTATTTCTGTTGTAATTAAAGAGTTTTACAATTTATGTAACAATAATATAAAAAAGTCAATAACAATGGTAGCACAACAGGACAAATACTACATAAGACAGGAATAGAATATTACTTGTTCATAAAATTGAAAATGATTTTTTTTTTCACTTTTATGAACAAGCATTAAAAAACAACTGATTTTAAAATATGTAATATGAAACAAGACTAGAAGATTAAGTTAATTTAAAATAAAGCCAATCATTATATTCACAAAAATTTAAATATATGAAGATCACAGTTTGAATAGTTGTTTCAATCATCATGATTCTGAACCAATCAATTATACAGTATATCCTGTAACAATTGCTGGTTATTACAATGCTATCTAAATTATCCAAAGTGCTCCTTTTTTCACAATTATTAAATCTAATATATCACTAAAACAGTTCATCAAACTCAAAGTTTTATATATTCATATGT